CTCAATGAGGATGCTGTGGGCGGCCGTGCCGTGCTCCGGTCGNCGGTAGGTTTCCGCCTTTGCACGAGGACCGAGTTTGTCCTGCTGGCTGGGTGGGATGCGGACGTAGGCCAGGCAGCTGAAGGTGTGGCGGTGGCTGATGTCGGGGGGGGACGCCGTGATAAGCTGCCCACAGTGTGGCCTCCCGGCCCTGAGAGGGGGAAACATTGCGCAGGAGGTTGGTGTAGAGCACAGCCTCCGGCCTGTAGCTGCCCGGGAGTGCTGCGTCGTGCAGCATCGTCCGCACACGGCCGAGGAGCATGTGGTTGAGTCACTCCACCATCCGTTCTGCTCCGGGGTGTATGATGCCGAGTGGGTGTGCACGGTGCCGTGCTGGCGCAGCCACTGCCGCAGTTGCTCGGTGATGTACTCACCGTGTTTGTCGCTGTGCAGCATGTGCACCCGTGCATGGTTCAGGTGGTGGGCCTCCAGCTGCGTCACCATGTCCTGCAGCACTTCACCCACTTGGCCTTTGCTTGCCAGCGTGCGGACGGCGGACAGACTGGTGGCACCGTCCAGCAGCATCAGCAAGTAGTGTGTGCCCCCTCGGCCCATGGTCGGCATGGGCCCGCACAGGTCAGAGTGTATGACCTCCAGTGCGTGCTGCGGCCGGTTGCTGCGGCTGGGATGGGCGGTTACGGTGGCTTTCATGGTGACACAGGCCTCGCAGACGGTCTCCGCCGCCTGGCGTAGTGCTGCTGGAGTGACCTGTGGTCCCTGCACCAGCTACTTGCTGATCAGCTGCTCCAGCACGCGGTAACCGAGGTGACCGTACTGGCGGTGCAGGCGCTGTGCTGCCGCTAGTTTGGCGACTGAGCATTCGGCGGCCCCGGGGCTGCCGTTGCCTGGTTGCCCTTTGCCGTTGCTGTCACCGTCCGGCTGGCCTCCACCGGTGTGGCTGCCGGCGGTGCTGCCGCCACGGGCGCTGGGGACAGCGGCGGCACTTCCGCCAGCACTTCTAACTGCGGCCTGGCCCCCACCGGCTCTGTCGCCCACGGTGCCGAGGGCATTGACGGTGACGTCGGTCGGCGCCTGCAGGTCCACGTCCATGCGTAGTGCCCACACGCATTCCATGCAGTGATAGCCGGGCTGTTGTGAGGGAGGCCGATGCATGAGAACCAGCAGCCCGTCTTGTCCGTGCTGAATGTGCCTATGCAGCTGCGTGTCACGAGAAGGTTGACAGATGTTAGGATGAGGCCCGAGCTGGGGACGTGCAGCATGTTGTGCAGCCGGACATTGTGTCCATCACGTGTACACAGGTGCAGCTGCACTGTTCCCATGACATCGGCCAGCTGGTTGTTGCCCCACTCGATCAGCCGTGGCGCGCCGGCGGGGACGTGGTTGTGCAGCAGGGAGTGGTCACCCGTGAGGTGGTACGGTGAGCCTGAGTCGAGGATGACTCGTGAGCTGCTGCCACTGCCGTCGATGACCAGCACTGTGGCACGGCTCTGGCGTGAGCTGCTTCCGCTGCTCCCCGAGCCGCTGCAGTGTCGCCGCCGTTGCGGTGGCTGTTGCCGCATCAAGCACGGCCGCGTTCACGTGTTCCGTTGGCCCCGCTGTTACCGCCATTGCTGCTGCCAGTGTCCCTGCCGCCGCCGTCACAGTGGCGGTTGCGGCTGCCTCAACTGATGTTGCCGGCGGCGTGCAGCTGCTCGAATGCGTTGCTGTGGTGAAGGCCGACGGACTCGTCCGCCTGCTTAACGGGGCACTCGCAAATGTAGTAACCAGGCTGTCCGCAGTAGCGGCAGGTGTCGCCGGCCCCCACGGCGCCTGCAGCACTGGCGGTGCTGCCGACTCCACTGGTGGCACGGCCAGGGCCGACAGCTCCCACCAGGCTGGTCTTGCTTGCTTGGGTCTTGAGGTTGTTGTCCTTCTCCCGCAGCATGAGCACGAGCTGTGGGGTCGTTAAGTTGGGCTGATACATCGTGAACTCGATGGTAATGGCGTACTGTGGAGGCAGGCCATGGAGAATGGCGTGGCGCACTGTGCTCTCGTCCCACTGGCCGCCGGCCACAATTATATCGCTACGGAGCTGCTCTGCCCGCTAAATGAAGTCAGCGGTTGTCTCCCCATCGCGCATGTTCAGCTGCATCTGCGGCTCAACCAGGCTCAGCCGGGCCTGGGATGCAGAACGGAACTGTTGCTGTAAGAGCTGCATGGCGGCGAGACCGGTTGGGCAATTCATGAGCAACTGCTTGATGGGCAGT